CCAGAGCAAGCCATTGACGTGTGCCGGTGAGAGAGAGAACGCTAATGTAGGGGCTTTAGCGGGGAGAACCTTTTGTGTCGCTTCGATATCCTCGGAATAAGAATCAAGTGACCTTGCATGGACTTGCCCGAGAGAAAGCGCTTCAATCACAAATAGTCTAGTTTCATTATGGTGATTCCGGTGATTTTGGCAGATCCCATATATTAAATGACATAACCTTGGCCTCTGACCACTTTAATCCCCTTGCTTTCATTGGACAGGCGTTTTTGAGCTTTTCCAATGGAATGGTTACTGACGAGGGTGTATACTGGGCATGAACTGTGATAAATTAAAGAGGACACTGATACAATGCGTCATATCACATGAAATCATGAAGAAAGATTCTCACTCTTCGAGGTCTCTGTCTTATTGTGTACCTGGGAGCCCTGACCCCTGGGATATGCGACAGTAGAGGATCTGCCCTGGGGCCAGGGGAAAGCAACCCTGGGAGAGTCGAGACTCGAGCCTCCAGACTCCATCCATCATTGGCCTCATCTTCCCCTTTTTTTCTCCAATAGCTACTGAATGACAATAATAATGGGGAAAGCAGCCGAGACTCGAGAAAAGAGGCGTAGAAACAAGATTTTTCTTGCCGTCCAACGCGAACGAGGACAAGGAAAACAAGAACCCCCGCTCGATGGGCACGAAAAGTGCCGATCACAACACTAGCCCAGGTCAACTGTGGGAATTTCCACTCATTTGTCTAGCATGGATACTCGTTTTGGAAGATGAATTGCGCTATTCATTCATTTTCCCTTAAAAGACTCATACATTTTGACTCCTTTTGGCACCACATCACATGCTACCGAGATACACCTCGAGCTGTCTTCCTTTGACCTCGTAGCACCTAACACTCCAGTTCGACGGCGCTCCTCGTCCTAATTTCCCTTTCTACATCGACCGAATGGACCCCACACTGGAGCTGGGACACAAGAGGGTCCCCGGACTACCGACTTCCAGTTCCAAACGTCGAGCGGAAGCTACGAGTCTTTCCGGCGATGGTTCCCCATGGGCATGTTCAGTTCCCCGCAAAATGAGAACTACGACTATGGAATCGCATTTGGCTCACTCGCCCAGGAGAAAGAATATTGCCCAATATTCGAATGCGCCTATCCATGGTGCTATCATGGTCGAACTCCCACTAACACAGACTAGTGCCCACAGTCCTGCTGGGTGTTATCTCCTGGCTCCTGCAAATATTGTTCTTCTGGCTAGGGACAATGGCAGTTCGTCTGTTCAAACGCGTGGGCTGCTCACTCGAAATTCTCCTCTGCAACTCAATGGGCTCAACCGCTCAGGCTCCCTACTAATCCGTGATCACAAAGCAAGGCAATAATGACTGTCAAATGCTCCCTTTGCTCAAACTGTCGAATTGCCTGTGCCGATCACCGAGGTAGATGGAGCCCGAAAGTCAGACCCCAACTCCTCAAGCGATCCCATCTCAGACTAAGACGAGACTAAAGTGCCACTCGCAATTTCCCGTGCCTCTAATTTGCTCCCCCCGCAGGGCTAAGAGCCCCTAAAAAGACCATTTAGTCTAGCATTGCGGTCTGGGGTGGACGGCTGATTCCGACTGAGCAGAGCTTGGGCTCCAGCTTGGCGCCGCTACAGTCACCGTTCACCATCCCATGCTGCTGCCGGTGCTGTACTAACATAGTACTACAGGAGCTGTCTACGTACCATGCTCCACAACGTTCTACCGTCTTTAGCTCAAAGGATGAAAGAAAATAGATGACATACACCAATGATCGACAAGTTATGCTTTCCCAGTACGCTCGAAAAGGGCACTATCTCCGTTGCACGACCCGAAATTCCCCTGCCGCTGACATCAGTAGTCTGGTCAATGGAAGGAGGAAACCCCCAACATGAGTTAGTTCACATGTGGAGATCAGACAATAGCCCTCGGTCTGTGGCTTGTTTCCCCAGCAGTAGCTGGACCGTGTGGAGAGAGTGGTTAGTAGTAGCAAATCTTTTCCGCGCAGCTGCAGACATAAAAGGAGCCAGTCCAGTCTTGGGAGATCTCGGCTTTACCTCTCTCCCAGACGTCGATTGCTGGCCATTCCCCTGTGAAGAGCATTGACCCAGCATGCGTTTCTCAACAGTCCTCTCAGCTCTTTTGCTATCCAGCACCGCGCTCGCAACTCCAGCGCAGGTATCCTCACCAGTCGGTGCTTCATCACAGGGGGGTGTAGCAGAGGAACAGTCGGTAGCGCAGACAACACCCGTAGCAGAGGCCACTCCGGTTGCGCAACAAAGTCCAAGCACCAACCAGCAGAATGCCAACGCTGCCAACCAGGAGCAGAGCGCCAACGTCAACACCCAAGCAGCAGCAGCACCCCCAACCAGCACCAGCCCTCAGCCCACTGAGAATGCTGAACCCTCGCCCAGCCCGGCTGCCAGTCAGAAGGACGGCAACCCGCTGAATATCCTATCGAACCTGGTTCCAACGAACACTGCTGGTGAGCAAACCCAAAGTGTCTCTACGGCCACTTCAACTCCTGCCTCTGCGGAGAGCTCCTCTAACTCTGAGACCGCCACAAATGCAGCTGCGCCAACCGCTGCCAGTAGTACCGGTTCAGGCTCATCGTCTGGAGGTGCGTCGGATGGGTTTTCCGGAAACATCTTCCAAGATCTGCAGAATCTGTTACAAGGCATTTCGGGCCTCCTGTCTCCCACCTTGCTGAAGGATATCGAATCCTTCTTCCACCACTTCGCATACCTGTTCGACGACAAGACCACCGACCAGACCAAGTCTTTGATCGATACCGGATACAAACTCCTCACTCCTGAGCTGACCAAGGAAGTGCTGGGTCTTTTGAGTAACGCCAATGCCTTGCTCACGCCCAGCTTCGTGAATGAGACTCAGGAACTGATCGGCGCAGTCGGTCCGCTACTCACACCTCAACTGTTCAAGCAGATTTCGACACTGCTGAACAATGGCAACAACCTGCTGACCGCAGACTTCGTCAAGGAAGTCAACGGTTTGATTGGTAACGCCAACACTTTGTTGACGCCCGATTTTGTCAAGGAGACCCGCGCTCTTATTGAGGCCGTTGGTCCTTTGTTGACACCTGAGCTGTTCAAGCAGATCTCATCTCTGCTCAACAACGGCAACAGCCTGCTGACTGCAGACTTTGTCAAGGAGGTCAATGGTCTGATTGGCAATGCCAACACTTTGTTGACAGCCGACTTTGTCAAGGAGACTCGCGGGCTCATTGAAGCTGTTGCTCCCGTTTTGACACCCGAACTGTTCAAGCAGATTGGCACTCTACTAATCAACGCCAACACTCTGCTGACTTCAGACTTTGTCAAGGAGGTCAAGCAGCTCATCAACGCTGTTGGTCCTCTGCTGTCGCCTGATCTATTCAAGCAGATCAGCGGTCTGCTGAACAACGCCAACGACCTGTTGACTCCAGACTTCGTCAAGGAAACCAGAAGCCTGGTCGGCGGTATTGCTCCTGTGCTGACACCCGGCGTGCTCGCCGAGGTTGGCGCTTTGTTGAGCAACGCCAACGATCTCCTCACGCCAACCTTCGTCAACGAAACTCAGGGCCTGATTGGTGCTGTGGCGCCTAACATCACGCCTCAGCTCTTCAAGGAGATCGGCAGCTTGCTGAATAACGCCAACTCTTTGTTGTCCACGGACGGCTTGCACGAGATCCAAGGCCTGCTGAGCAACGCCAACGATCTGTTGACACCCGACTTCGTCAAGGAGACAAAGAACCTGATCGGCGATGTCTCGCCCGTCATCACGCCCGAGCTGCTTGGACAAGTCGGAGGACTCCTGAACAATGCCAACAACCTGCTCACGCCCAAGTTCGTCAATGAGACACAAGACTTGATCTACGAGGTCGCTCCCGTCATCACACCTGAGCTTCTGGCTGAAGTCGGCGGCCTGTTGAACAACGCCAACAAGCTCCTCACCACCAAGTTCGTCGAGGAAACTCAGCACCTGATCGACAGCGTCGGGCCTGCCCTGACCCCTGCCCTATTCACCAACGTTACCTACGTCCTGGGCAACGCCACCCAGCTGCTGACGCCCAAGTTCGTCAACGAGACAAGAGACCTGATTGATGGAGTCTCCCCTGTCATCACACCCGACCTGCTTGCAGAAGTCGGCGGTCTCCTCAACAACGCCAATGATCTTCTCACCAGGAAATTCGTGAATGAGACACAGGTCCTGATCGAGGATGCATCCGAGGTATGTTCCCTAACCCTAAAAACTCACAAGGCAATATCGCTAACAAATACATAGTTGCTCCCCGTCTTGGTGAAGGTCTTGGGCACGTTGTAAGAGACTTGAACCGCCATGCATAAGGGTCTATGATTAATGGACACGAATTTATTTTCTTTTCTTTTTGATACATATGAGAGGTAATCACGCACTTCATGTTTAATGATATTCATGTTGAGGACCGTTATGTGCCGGCCCAGACAGGTCGAGTGGGGGTTGATGTCTTTATAATCCGTCCATAGCCCACAGGAAATCTAAGGTTCATGTCAAGACTAGACTCTGATTGCGCCATGACAATATCGAAGCCCTTGTATGTAAGCTCGCTGAAGATCTGACTCGAGGTTGCAGCCTCATACCAGTCAGACACACTACGATTTCTCGTAGCCTTGGGGCCGTGCATCTGCGAGCTGAGTAGCTCTTTATTTGCCCATGAGGCCGCGCTTCATGTTCCGGGCAGTTGTGTTTTGTGCGTGGGCTCTGTCTCGCAGTTTTGGTGGCTGGGAAGCCAATTGCAGCGCATATTGTTGGCGAGCGCCGCCAATTCTTGTAGAATCTCCAGAATATGGAAACACTCTGGGATGCTCAATGACGGTATCCTCCCTCAACAGCCACCCAAGGGAGCCGCGTAAGTGCTGAGCACGAAGCCGAGCACTCTTGGTTCAACAAAGCGTCCTTAGACGTCAAAAACCAATCTCACACCAAGCCCATTCAACAATTCAACCAAGGTTCAAGACGGAATATTCAAGCCCCTAACCTTCTGATACTTCGATAGCACCTTCATCTCCGTATCTCGCTCCTTAACCTTCTTGTCCATGGCCTTTTGCACCTCCTCGCGCTTCTTCTCCGCCTCCTCGATCTTCCGCTTCGCTTCCTTGGCTACTTGCTCTTGCGCTTTCAGCGCCGCGCTAGGGGATGGGTATTCGGTGCGAAGGTGGTCGAATTGGGATCGGATCGAGTCAGACTTGAGATCTATGGGGGTGCAGGTGACTGGGTCGTACTGGTATGGTTTTAGGGGCGAGCTTGGGACGCGAATATCGGGGAGGCATGGGTGGATGGGTGTTGTGCGAAGGGGGGAGTCAAGCGGGACTGGTGCGTTTGAGGGAGGGTTTGCTGTTGAAGATGGTTCGGGCTCTGCCGGAGGTGAGAGAGGCTGTTGGTCCATTTTGGAAATTGGAGGCGGGGGGGCGCTTTGGATAGTTGCCGGATGGGGTTGATGGTGATGAGAAGTACAAATTTAGTACAAATTATACCTCTCAGGTACTGTATTGCTGAACATTTGTCGATGCAGATCGGTAGCGGTGGGATTCTGCCGGTTGAATAGTGGCTGACCGCCTGGTTGCTGTGCGGAGATGCCGGCGAAGCTGTAAATGAAGGGCACTCCAAACACAGAATCGACTCCCTCATTTCGGTTAAATGAGAAAGTAAAGGAAGGACTCTCTCGACTGGCTTTGAAGCCTTGCCCACTATGCAGGCTTTTGGTATGCGATCACTTCACTCGCTGAACGCTGTGCTGCGCAGCGCCAGATGACCTCATGGTCGGTACAACTTGCTGATTCCACATACTGTAGTTCCGAAGAATAGGAGGGTAAGTGTTTTGTCTAGGAGGAGTGGGCAATGCTGAACCCTGACTTTAGCCTAGATTCGAATTTATTTTGAGAGTGAGTCTGACCGGTCTCGCATATCATAGATTCTTACTAACCGAGCTCTTCGCTCAGATCATCGATCTAAATAATGTGCCACTTGTGAGTGGAACAGCGTTCGTTAAGTGGCGTCTGCCGTCGTCAAGCACGGCCGAGCATCATGGACAAACGGACAAAGCGATCATCATCGATCATCGAGCGTACTGGAACTACGAGAAGACCCTGCAGGTCAGGCTTACGATTGATCGAAATCAGACGCTCCATGAATGCGAACTTGTCCTAGACATCATACAAGAGTTTGGGTCTGGAGGGCACGGCGAAAAGAATCTTTTAGGAAGGATCAGACTTAACCTTGCCGAGTATGTCGACAAGAGCGATGACGAGGAAGGCATCGTGAGGAGGTACCTGATGCAGGATAGTAAGGTCAACAGCACGCTCAGGGTTGGGATTGTGATGCGCCAAATTGATGGTGATCGGAATTTTACCACGTATGTTTTACTATTACGAACCATGACCGGTCTGTTGCTGATTGCTAGCAGCCCGCCCCTAAGGTCCGCCGCGGTTTTCGCAGGCATCGCGGGTGTGGTCTCCTCGGAAAAAACTGACCATGATGAACTTGGCCGGCTTCCGTCCATCAACACCCAGAGTAGAGAGGTCGCTGATATGCAGGACATGTACCGCCGCACTCTGGCTGCTGCATGGCTGTCTGGCACAGATGACATCCCCGCGGATAAGCTAATTGAGGACCTCTTTGCCACGGGTTCTTGCGGCAACGAAGAACATCCTGATGCTCGCTCTCGAAGAACGGCGGATAATAATAACGAGCTTCACCCGGATAGGGATACAGATACAAGGCAAACCAGATCAGGGAACCGATTGTCCCCAAGTTTCGAGAGGCGACCAAAGAGCTTATCCAGCCAATTCCGCAACGAAAGTAAAGGGTCTGACTCCTCGGGACACATCAGGAAAGGTGGCAGTATTCAAGAGCAGCTCTACGACAGTGCAAATGGCAGGGCCTGGAAAAGCCGTAGTGAAGTGGATGAACTATCGGAATTTGACGTACGAGAGGACCTGCGGAGTTGGGAGGTCTCTGTAAAGGAATAATCCCATAGGGCTCATATTCTTTTCTTTTGTTCCCTTCGTTTTTGACTTTGACCACTTATTATACTTTACTTACTTTAATCATTTGTTGAAACGATAAGGAATGAGTATCTTCCATCAAACAAAGACATTCATTCTTGTGGCCTAAGGCACATGTTACTACATAGTGATCAACCTTCCGCTTCCAGCCTAGCGTATCTTGACCGATAAGATTGCATGCAAAGCTTCAAGAAACTATCGATTGCGAAGAATTTCATGGAGCGGCTGGCTCGAAACAATTCGCCCATTTTCCCATATGCTTACACGGTTCTCGAGGCCGGCAGCAGGGCGTCTGGCCTGTCAATACATCTCCCCTTGTAGAGAAATTTTACGGTTGTCAACGAGTCGCCAGCGTGATGCTTTCGTCCGCTATCAGAACACCGCAACCGACCCGGAGGACGAGCCACCGTCTCGCCGTCGACCTCGAGCCAGGTGGGCAAACCAGAAGGAACTTCCGAGGGGTCAGAAGGTGACGCTCGATGTCGAGTCGTTGGGAAAACCTGGGGAAATCGTTGTCGTACCGCATCGGACCCGCCGCCGTCAAAACTCCGAGGTCAAGCGCGACACATCCGATAAATCTGCCCTTCCATTCATGCTAGAAGATATCGAAATCAAAGATGTTGTTCTAGAATCTGCTACCATCAATGAAAGCATACAAAGTTTTCGTGAACCTCATTGCGCGCACGACAAGTTGTCCGCCAACGATTGGGAAGACCTGCGAAATAGACTCCAATCATCCTTTACCTTTCAACAGCTGTCAGACTATATACAAGAAGCGAAGCAAGAGGCTTTGGTCCAGAAGGATGGGGAACCACAAAGCGAGCACCTATCCACTGCTGTCTGGAGACCCGGAACTTCCATGTTTCTTGAAACCGGTCCAGTTTCGCGGGGAAGCTTTGCCGATAGGGTCGCCGTGACACAAGCGCTGAAAGGGAAGCAACTCCTTGCAGAGAGAATTTTACGAGACTGCTGGCAGCTAGGTGTTGCTGGTGAAGTTGGTCAAATCGACATCCGGCTCCCCGCGTACTCGTTATCGCTGCTGCTCAACTCTGAGCATTTCTCTTTCGAAGAATTGGCCAGCTTACACGACGCGAAGATTGACGTCACCCGTTCATTGGGCCTCATCAGAGTAACTGGGAATCAGCACACATGCGAATCGATTCGCGAGATTATATACGATGCAACGAACAGGATTCGACAGGAAGATATCTATCTACCTACGCCAAATAATGCTACGTCCAAGAGTGGTCATATTTTTACTCCTGATTTTCTTGCATGGGCCAGCAAGACTTATGGCGTTGCATTCGAGCAGGAGCCATCGCAGGGCGTTATTAGGATGTTTTATCTTGCGGAGAACAGAGAAGATGCGGACAATGCTCGGAGAACACTGAACCTAGCGATCTACAACACAACTTCTCCCGCGATACCCTTTGGCACTTACTTATCCGCGACCCAGTCGGCTAGAGTCTACGATGTAGACCCAGAGCAAAACGTCCCGTGGTTCGATCGGCAAAAGGCGTGGTTTCGTTGGGCAATGTCATCTACCCAATCCTCCGAGACAAAGATCCTGGACACCCCGTATTTCGATAAGCATCAATCGCTTTTGTCAGACGAGCTTCTCAAATTACTCAGAAAGTCGTCACCATCGTCAGAACTCAATGGTATCAGTGAGACCGTGGTAGCCGCCATTGGGCAATGTCTGTTCTTACGCAAGCCTTCCTTCGAGACCCAGACTCTCAGCGCTTCTCAGCTGGGCAAATTGGATCTTCCTCGAACTTTCACTACAGATGTTCCTCGAGTGACGTCGTTTCTCCGTACGCTCAAGCCCCGTCTGCCCGATGATGACCAACAGTTTTACGTCTTCCGGTTGATTCCAACCACTGCCCATGCAAACATCTTTCCGCGACTGGAATTAGAGGTAACTCTGCCAGAATCAAACCCGTCATCTGTCCCTGATGCCCAAATAGCGATCCGTAGCGTGAAAGCTGAGTTGGCTGAGAGCAATGTTGACTATCTGCTCCCCGAGAATGGCCTTGACCTTCGGTTTACCAGAAAGTTGTACCGCGATCTACTGCATGGACTTTCTGAGAATGAGTCAGCCGCGAACGTTACGGTGGAAAGCCTCCGGGAATACCTGCAGGGCATCTTTTCTAGGTATATGAACAGCGAAGGCGAAGCGCCTCTACCTGTTTTTACTCGTGTTCCGCTTCCCAATGATCTGTTGAAGGGAACTGTCAACAGCGAACTAGACAATCCGGGTAACCACACTACTGCGGAATACATGTTCATGCCAGTGAATGATCTTAGAGGCACGCGCATACATCGCTATGATTTCAATGGCCAGCAGCTCAACTATGCTTTCTATGAGAGCGGGCCGTTTAATCCCTACCGAACCACGGATATCTTCCTCGACATGGATCTCACTGAGGGTGACAGCTCCACAAGTCCTCCTGCAGAGGATTCTATGTCTCCAAATCCACTCCATCGTGGATTCAACAAGTTCTACGGTGCTGCTTGCTCTCTGGCATTTGAATTGGATAGGGCTTGGCGGATTGATTCGGTCTAAGAGATATCACTACTGTATTATATGTTTTCTATTGTATTATAATCATGAGACCTTGTTTGCATGGAATCCTCCTGCCTCAGGCTGGACAATGTACATATGCCAACTCTACAACTGCGCTGGCTGTATCACCATAGGAATATATATCTGCCTTGTCGGAGATCAAGTTGATGCAACCTTTCCAATCCCAGACCAACCGAGAGCTGTAGCCATCGATACAATCATGTATATCCTTGAAGATACTCAAACAAAGAGCATGCTATGCGTGGCTCAGGTGCATGTGGTCAGTTGCCATCTGTAGCCCAAAACAGGTAATCAGTCACAGACGCCGGGATTCATTAGTGCTCAACAATCTTTGAATCCATTCAACGACTTAAGATGCGGTCGAATATCAAAAAGAAGCTATTAGGAGGCATTGGAAGTCATTCAGACACAATAACGATAATCACTGACTGTCCGGTCATATCAACTCACTTTAATGCCCCGTAGGGCAGACAACTACCTACCTGCCTTGAGCGGTCGGTAGGCATTTGACGTAGCTAGCGAGGGGCTCCGCATCTGACCGAATCGGGCTTCAACTTCTTGTGGTTGGAGAGCTCTCCCACCTCGAGACTTTTCCGAAAATCTGCAATTTTGTCAATGACATCGCTATTCTGCCTTTGGCCTTGACTCGCTGCGCTCATAGACTAGGAGTATTAAACGGCTCATCGCAGTCCTCCGACCGTCCTGAAATAGAGCCAGCTTGTCTGTCATACCTAACCATGAAGATTATGCGGACACGGAAATAGCATAGGATGGAGAGAACACGGATCGCTAAGGTTTGATCCATGACTACATACAATCCGAGTTGAGAGAAAACGCATGGATCTGACTGTACTCCTCCTTCCCTCGACTCTCAGGTTGAAGATGTGACCTTGGCGCGTCGTGGTGAACAGGTCGTCGGCACGCTACACCTCACCCCTCACCATATTATCTTCTCCCACATACCCCAAGGAGCCGAGACGGCGCAAGCTCAGGGTACACCTGTTCGACCAAGGGAGCTGTGGATAACCTATCCTATCATCTCATTTTGTACATGCCGCCCAACTCCCGCCGCATCCCGCCAGCCGTCGTCGATTCGCTTGCGCTGTCGAGACTTTACGTTCGTTTGTTTCTACTTCGCCAGTGAGAGTAAAGCTCGCGATGTATATGAAAGCATAAAACTCTGGACATGCAAAGTCGGCCGGATCGACAAACTCTATGCCTTCACTTATCAGCCGCCGCCACCGGAGCGGGAATTCAACGGTTGGGAGTTGTACGATGCACGCAAAGAGTGGGCTAGGCAGGGCGTGGGTTGTGATGGCAACGACAATGGCTGGCGGATTTCCGAGATAAATACGGACTACGGGGTACTTCGTCTCCTTCGTCAGTAGCTTCATGATCGCTGTATTGACTTTGGATGTTTCAGTTTTCGCCCACATACCCCGCTCTTCTACCGGTGCCGTCGTCCATTTCAGACAATACGCTTAACTACGCGGCTCGTTATCGGTCGAGAGCAAGAGTACCTGTCCTAACGTATCGCCATCCCATCAACAACTGCTCGATCACGAGAAGCTCTCAGCCTCTGGTAGGTGTACGGCAGAACCGAAGCATCCAGGATGAGAAGCTATTGGCAGCAATATTCTCAACATCCCGTACAGACAGGCCACTGGCCAATTTCACTCCACCACATATGGAATATGATTCACCGAGCTCGACACAAGGTGACGTTTCATCAAGCCAGATGCTGACTGATTTGACAAACGCCGAGGAATTGGAAGACGAAATGCTGGAGTCGTTCCGTGGAGATCCTGAGGAAAAACCTCAGATTTATGGTGCTCAGCAGCATAATCTAATTGTTGATGCACGACCGACAGTCAATGCATTTGCTATGCAAGCCGTTGGTCTGGGATCAGAGAATATGGACAATTACAAGTTTGCTACGAAGGCCTACCTCGGCATTGACAACATTCACGTCATGCGGGACTCGCTCAACAAGGTTGTTGATGCTCTTAAAGACTCTGATGTCACGCCGTTAGGACCTAATAGGGATCAACTTGCACGAAGTGGATGGCTGAAACATATTGCTGGCATTCTGGATGGCGCCGGGTTGATAGCTCGTCAAGTCGGCTTACAGCATTCGCATGTGCTCATTCATTGCTCGGATGGATGGGATCGTACGGGCCAGTTGAGTGCTCTGAGTCAAATATGCCTTGATCCTTACTTTAGGACGATGGAAGGGTTTATGGTACTCGTGGAGAAGGACTGGCTTTCCTTTGGCCACATGTTCCGTCACAGAACGGGTCCTTTGAGCAGCGAAAAGTGGTTTCAAATTGAAAACGAAAGAATTGGGGGCGATTCCGGTCGTGGATTCGGAGAGGGCGGTGGTGCAAGCAAAGCCATAGAGAATGCTTTCCTCAGCGCAAAAGGGTTCTTTAACAGGGACAACACAAGCCGCGACTCTCTCCCGGATTCGGAAGGGGAGATGCAAAGTTGTGACTCTGACAGTCCCAGAAAGCCAGGCTCCGCCCCCAGAAGCGTTGCCTCCGAAAAAGAGGTAACCAAGGTGAAGGAAACAAGCCCGGTCTTTCATCAGTTCCTCGATGCGACCTACCAACTGTTATACCAATACCCGACACGATTCGAATTCAACGAGCGATTTCTTAGGCGGCTGCTCTACCATCTCTATTCATGCCAATATGGTACATTCCTTTTCAATAGCGAAAAGGAGCGGGTAGAGATGAAGGCGAAGGAGCGCACTCGGAGCGTGTGGGATTACTTCCTTGCCCGGAGAGACCAATTCCTCAATCCCAAGTATGATCCTCAGATAGACGATCATAAGCGCGGCAAGGAACGCCTGATTTTCCCGCGTATCAATGAAGTCAGATGGTGGAGCGAAGCATTTGGTCGGACAGATGCGGAGATGAATGGAGTCCGCTCGACCAGCGTCACTCCCTCTGCCCGTCGTGGTAGTCCCGCCTCTGAGTCAACGCCGGTCTTGACGGGTATTGAGACAGCCCATCATGCTGTCGGAAGCGGAGCTCCTGGCAATGTGACCGGCAACGCTGCCCCGACCGGAATGGCAGCAGTGGCCTCAGGAATCTCAAATCTTAGTTTCTCAAAGGGAAAGGAGAACTCTCAGGAGCCGAAAAATCTGAGTCAGATGGAGCTTGAAATGCAATAGGAATGAAGCAGACAATGAACGATGATAAAGCACATAGCACTTGATTGCAGTTCACGATTTGATGTATGTTATATTATGCGATGATTACAACAAAGGATCGGCCTAAGCTAGGCCTAGAACATGACGAATATTCCTACGGCAAGGGTTGAAGACTGCGAAGGCTGCTGGCGGGTAGCTACCTCGATATTAGCCTGAAAGAAGCTGTAGAAGGGGACTCGGTAGACAGTCAGCCAGTTGATGCCTGAGCGCCTGAACAGGGATTAAGCTCTGAAAGCTAGTTGTTTGGACTATTCCTATTAGGGAAAGGAGACGGCGAAGTGCAAGCGAGGGTTGAGCCCTATCCCAGAAAGGAAGGACAAGCCCTATTCCCAGAAAATCCCCACTAACGCGGAATATCTCAAATCTGGTCTGACGACTGCCGACCACTTCGCCCTCGAACGACTTCCCAACTTTGGTGCACCGCTACGGCCGTTTCTTCGACAACCTAGAAACCAACCAGCAGAAACGCAATCATGGCCGCTGTCCAGGGAGCTATTTCGAAGCGCCGCAAGTTCGTCGCCGACGGTGTCTTCTATGCCGAGTTGAACGAGTTCTTCCAGCGCGAGCTGGCTGAGGAGGGCTACTCTGGTGTTGAAGTCCGTGTCACTCCCACTGTCACCGACATCAGTACGTTCGCCCGATCATAAGTATTTTTTCCGTTAGGTTATTGGGGGGTTTGAAGGAGGTCAGAAAAGATTGGGAAACCACGAAATTGGGGACGCAATGGGAGGAAGACAATTTGTCGCCAGGAAATTACATGGGGAATAGTGTCATGATGCTAACGGATGCTCTTTTTTTGCGCAGTCATCCGTGCCACCCACACTCAGGAGGTTCTCGGTGAGCAGGGTCGCCGCATCCGCGAGCTCACCTCCCTCATCCAGAAGCGCTTCAAGTTCCCCGAGAACTCCGTCTCCCTCTATGCCGCCAAGGTCCAGAACCGCGGTCTGTCCGCCGTCGCTCAGTGCGAGTCCCTCCGCTACAAGCTCCTCAACGGTCTGGCCGTCCGCAGAGCCTGCTACGGTGTCTTGAGATTCATCATGGAGAGCGGTGCCAAGGGTTGTGAGGTTGTCGTTTCCGGAAAGCTGCGTGCTGCCCGTGCCAAGTCCATGAAGTTCACGGTACGTCTATAGTGCTTTGGTGGAATTTGCTCAAGGGAAAGAGAAACTATGAAGGAAGATGAATGAAGGGTGTCCGGGATACGGGATGTGCAAGCAACGATACGGGAACTGTGTGACTGACTCTATCCTCTCTGTACAGGACGGTTTCATGATCCACTCCGGTCAGCCCGCCAAGGAGTTCATTGACAGCGCCACCCGTCACGTCCTTCTCCGCCAGGGTGTTCTTGGTATCAAGGTCAAGATCATGCGCGGCTCCGACCCCGAGGGCAAGGCCGGTCCTCAGAAGACCCTCCCTGACTCCGTCACCATCATCGAGCCCAAGGAGGAGCAGCCCGTCCTGCAGCCCATGAGCCAGGACTACGGTGCCAAGGCTCTCGCCGCTCAGCAGCTCGCCGAGCAGCAGCGACTCGCTGAGCAGCAGGCCGCTGAAGGCCAGGAGGGTGCCGGTGCGGAGGCTTACGCCCAGGAGTAATCTGGTTTCTTTTCTCTAAAATAGGCCCTGCTCTTCTTTTCTTCGTTCCTGTCATCCTACCTACCTACCTACTTCCTACCTCACGCAATAAAGAACACTACATGAACTTCAGTTGTCTCCCCTTCCGACAATATTGTTCGCAGCTGCCCGGAGAATCTCTCTCGGGCTTACAGCTCTCTCCTAGATGCCTAGTGAAAGACCTAGGTAGGATACTAAAAGTGATGCTTCAATGAAATGAGATTGCGGAACGGGAAGTCGTTGACATTGCGACTCTACTTGGACGGGTTCTACGGGATGGGCTATGTCGACTTGTTAAGCAGGCGGTCTTTCACTTAGACTTCCCTGGACTTCCCTAAATTTTATCCTGAGTGGGTGCGTAGCTGTCGTATAACACTTGTGCAATAGCAACTGTCCCTTGTAGATTCTACCATCCAAAAAAGTCGACGTACGCCGTCAAGCTGGAGTCCGGCAATTTCTTCTTCTGGAACTTGCCAAGAATGTGTATGTTCTCCACTCTAGCAGATAAGAAAGTAGGCATTTTCTATGTCATATTCAAGGTACGTCGTGATTCCAACGCCGTAACTTCTTTGTGCCAAGGGATAGTTGAATATATCTATAATTTTGGTAAAACCACTCCCCCATCTGCCTTGACAATTCCTTACAAGAAAGCCTCAATGTTGATCTCCAGCGTGCTCACGGGGTATTTGAGCTCGTACTTCTCCAATACTGTAGGGTGTAAGATACCGAAGGCACCGATGACGTGGTCCTTGCCAGCAATACGAAGGTGGATGGATGCCGCATGACCCGGGAAGTATGTGGGTTCTAAGACCGAGTTAGTACCCGATACATACACGTAACGAAAGAGCATATAAGACTTACCGTCGAGCTCTTCAATCCAGTAATGCGAGTCGCCGATAGCTGCGTTGTCGAGACCCTCCTCACCTGTGATGAAGGCGCTCTTGAGCATGGCCATGAGGCGGTCGAGCAAGCCGTGCACAACTTCGAAACCGCTCGTCTTGCCGTACCAAGCTGCAGCGAAGTGTCTCTCGTTGCGGCTTTTACGTTCCAAGGCCAGATCTTTGAAGGCAACATCGCTGCACTCGAAGATCTTGATGGGTACTGCGTGATGCTTGTTCTCACGGATGGTCTTGAGGAGACCAGGAAGCAGGCTTGTGCGGACAACTTGGAACTCTACGGTCTTAGGGTTTGCCAGTTTGACAGCGGTGTTGCCGTCATCCTTGCGGTTGAGCCAGGCGAAGTTCTCGTCGTGAGAACACAAGATGAGGGGTAAGACCTCTGTCCAGCCTGCCATTGCAGCTTCCATTCTGACAATATCGGAGAGCTTATTGATGGGTAGCGGCTGAGCAATCGTACCCGACTTGCTGGGGAAAGACCGTGGGAGCGAGTTGAAACCGTACGCAATGGCAACATCCTCCATGATATCTGCCTGGTGAAGCACGTCCGCGCGGGTGGGGGGGACATCCACGTCAATGAGATCGGGCGAAGATGCAGACGGCCTTGCTTGGTAGGCCATCTTGGTCAAGAGCTTGCAAATTTCCTCGGGAGAAAGCTCCAGTCCGCAGCACTGGTTGATGTAAGAAACCTCGGCCTGAGTGGTACGAGGTGCAATGTCAGGCTCAACTCTGGTCTCGTTATTGTGTTCAGAGACAATCTGGACAGGCTCAACACTGCGCAATAATGAGTTAGTATCAGGTGTACAGGGCGAAGCAGACCAATACGTACGTGAAGGGCTCGGAGGTATATTGGGAGAACATCGTGACCATGATCTTGGTGACGATGTCCAGCTTCGTCTTGTCAAGAGCCGTAACCTCGATCAAGACATTCTTGGTATCTAAAGTAATCTTTGAATGGTCACCGTTGATGATTGGAGGCAGGGAACAGACAGTCCTCTTGGAGTCGTAGATGACGGGGTAAACTGGGGAGTCGCGGATGATGTGAAGATATTTGCCCAGATTCTTGTCTTTCTGTTTATAGGGGTAAGTATTAATTGCGATGAGCCATGGACGGTCGGTTCCATACCTCGTAGAAGGACATTAATTCCTCGCCGTTCAGTTCTTTCGTCTGGTTCAAAGGCACAAACTTGATGTCCTTTGGTGGCAGTGCCTCGTAGGTGAAGGGGCCCTGGATAGTGTCCAGGTCATGGGTACCGATCGACACAAGAGTTCTCTGTCTGGCAAGGTTCTGGTGAAGTTTGTCTTGCAGAGCAATGAAGGATTCATAACGGGCTTTGTCGAATTTGATGTTGCGAAGAATAGCTCCGGAAACTAACGGCCTTACTTTCATGGTCTGGTCGAAGATTTGTTTAGTCCATATTGACGCGACACTGAATTCCAAACCACGGCCACTTACATCTTCCTTGACAATGATTTTTTCCAGCTGTCCATTGGCGGGCTCAACCAATCGGTAATTGGGAAGAGGCTTCCGGCCCAGGAAGATGTTGAGCATGAGCTGGATACCTTCGAAACATAGCAGATCATAACTGTAGAAAAGTCTCAGTATATACGATTGGAGTGTTCAACATTTGCCGAAAAGTATGCGTACCGGTTGGCGGGGATTTCGATCTTCAGCTGGGGTGGTTCCTGCTTGCCATCGACGATGGGTCTGTTCGAATTTGTGGTCTGATTTTCTTAGCAATGTTCAATCATATTTCTCAAGGTGTTCGAGGGCGCATTACATCTTCGTCGAGCTCAATGCCTACAAAAAAGCCGTCAGCGAGAGAGCCCGCAAAAAAAGGTGGAATGAATGAGTCAAAACGTACCAAATTCGAAGCACAGCTCATCGAACTCCTCCGTCGTATACCTTGAAGATACGATTAGTCACAAAATAATTGAGGACATTGAACACAAGAAACATACTCCCGACCAAGCTCTTTAAAGAGCGCGGCCTTATCGACCGAGATGGTGGGCATGATGAGGGGCTTGTTCGTAGGAACTGTATAGAAGGAACGCCGCGATCAGACAACGATTGAATCCTACCAACGAACTGGTGTGGAGTGAGAATGAATGTCCGAGTTATTCAACGCAGATTAACAGCGTTGGTAACTCCGCCGATGCTCTGTCTGTTCTCCAATGTCGGGCAGACAATCGCAGTCATAGAGTCCGTGGCACTTTTGTCTCTGTTGGGGCTTGACCCTCCGCCAATCAAGCCACAGATGGATTGCACCGCCACGATTTCACCCCTCCTGATTCCTTAGGGCCTCAGACTCTGCCTTGGTTGCTTTTAACCCCCACCAGCCACAGGAGCAGCTAGTACTAGTGCTAGTGCCTCAGGTTCAGGTGAGCACCAGCGACCGTCGCAGCTCGCCTTAATAAGAATAGTAGCCGTCCTGATACCAGCCTCTACAGACTCACTCGAGGCTATTCTCCTTTCTCAAGTTAGGAATTTTATTTCTTCCATTACTGTCGGGCAACGAATTGCTGTTTTGCTGAGTTCAAACTCAATTGTCCAGGTAATTCTGCTATTCAAGTCAAGTGTCCTGCGGCGGCCCAAACCCCACGAAACCTCGCTCCGGGGTTTAACCATTATCCCTTCCTATACCACTAGAACTCTGCTATCAACAGCGACTAATATCAATCTAAGAGCAGGTGCTTGATCATTTTATCCTGTTCTCGACAGCTTCTCTGTGTCGACCACAAAATAACTTCTGGAGCCCCTGTTCAGTTCGCGTCATACCGGATTGATCTACCAACATTAATTCCAATTCCTGCTGAGGTCTTGAACCTGCCCGCATCCCTGCCTCGTTAGCCTTTTTTTCACCCCTTCAATAGTACATTGAAAAGCATACAGAATTTCCCGCGATGGAGGGTCAGGGAGAAAATGATGAGCTCTACCCCATTGCCGTTCTCATTGATGAACTGAAGGTACAGTTGCTCTTTCACGCACGTCATCTCATTTCAACACATACTGATAGTCGCGTGCGCCGTCTCCTTTAGCACGATGAGGTTACTCTTCGCATCAACGCTATACGCCGTCTTTCTACGATTGCATTGGCGTTAGGACCGGAGAGAACTCGGGACGAACTTATTCCTTTCCTCGATGGTTAGTTCGACCAAAGTTTAGGCGTGACAAGACTTTAGATCTAATTTACGGTTTCCGCAGACTCTGTCGAGGACGAAGACGAAGTCCTAACCGCTCTAAGCGATGAGCTGGGCAGTTTCGTGGAATATGTTGGTGGTCCGGAATTTGGTCATGTACTTCTTTCTCCCCTGGAGAACTTGGCAGCCATTGAAGAGCCATTGGTGCGGGAGAAGGTAAAAAGCAGCGCTTTGGGTATGTCGTTTCTTTTGCTGACAGAAAGCTAGGCGGTCGAGTCGCTCAACAAGATCGGTGAGGAATTATCCGAGAAGCAGATCGAAGAATACTTCATCCCCATGGTTATTCGCCTCTCGAAAGCCGACTGGTTCACATCGAAAGTCTCAGCCACAGGACTCTATTGCGTTCCCTACAGGAAATCACAACCGCCACTGCAGCAAAGTCTCCGCCAATATTTCGGAGGCCTTGTACATGACGAGACGCCGATGGTGCGACGACAGGCGGCAAATAATCTTGCCAAGTTTGTCAAGGAAATGCAGACACAAGTGATTATTGAAGAAATAATACCCTTGTTCCAATACTTGGCCAGTGACGATCAAGACAGCGTGCGCTTGTTGACTGTGGACATTCTCATCTCTATCGCCGAGGAAATCCCCAAGGAGCAACAACCCAGTCATGGTGTCCTGTTGACCTCCCTGCGCAATCTTTTCGAGGATAAGAGCTGGAGAGTGAGATACATGGTTGCTGATCGATACGAGAAGGTATTTTGTCCCCGGTGCGGCTTTGGTTATCCTGTTTAGGCTGTGCTAATAGTCCACAACAGATCGCTAAAGCTGTGCACGAAGAGGTTGTTACTCGCGACATGGTGCCCTCATTTGTTAAGCTTCTGAAGGACACAGAGGCTGAAGTTCGTACTGCTATTGCGGGCCAAATTCCAGGTATGTAAT